ATGTGGGGCACAGGCTCTGGGAGGGAGTTTGGATGCAGGAGGGGGTGCAGGCTCTGGGATGGGGCAGGGGATTGGGTTGCAGGAGGAGGTCAGGGGGTTGGCGCTTACCTCGGGTGGCTCCCGAAAGCGACCGACACACCCCTCTGGCAGTGGTTCCTAGGTGGGGGGCCCACAGGCACCACCCCCACAGCTCCCATTGGCCGCAGTTCCTGGCCAATGGGAGCTGCGGAGTCAGTGTTCAGGGTAGGGACAGCACGTGGAGACCCTTCCCCTGCGGCCCCAGGGACATGCCGGCCACTTCCAGGAACGGCGCAGAGCGAGGGCAGGCAGGAAGCCTGCCTTAGCCCCACTGCACTGCTTTCAAACAAAAAACCTGAACACAAAAACCCAACACTCACTTAGCTACAGGAGCTGCTAATCACGTTGACCAAAATGTTGACGTGGCTAGGGTGAAATGGCATAGGTAACATTACTGACTGGAGCTGACAGCCTTTCTGCAAGAAAAGCCCCAGGTTAAATGAAACCAATGAATGAATTACTCTCTGGCCCATCAATAGCTCTCATGTCTGAACTGAGCAAAAGCCATATAAAAAACCCTGCAATGCATACTACTTTATATTCAAGAATTCTTAATGCCTTGCCAGTCATTTAATTTGTTCTCCAGTGAACTACGACGGGGTAAAACGCACACATCAACTGGAATGATTCCAACAGAGATCAAAAATATACTTGTGTTCCCATGACTAAACCAAATTACACTACTGTAAGCTATGAAGTCCTTTCTGGAAGGACTGTCTTAGAAGCAATGGATTGACATCAGAATGCTGTTCAGCTTTTGTGACTCAGTAACAGTGCTTTGTGATCTACTTCCATAAATAACACGAAGAGGGAAAAACCAAGACAATGTCCAGTATGGGAGGTAATACTGGGCCAGACCATGAACCTCTCCCTCCCATTGGCGAGCTGTTACTCACACATGCAGCCCTATTAACTCAAAAGGAACTGCACATGAGTAACTGTTTGCCAATAGCAGTAAGGGATTCACAGTCTGGCTCAATGTGAGCAGAAAATTTCTCATATTATTTCCACAAGGTACCTGAATTTTTCAAAATCTGCTTCAGCCAGCATTTTATAAGAGACACACATTATGTATTCTGCTTCACAGGGTACGTCTACACTACGAGATTAATTCGAATTTAGATAATTCGAATTTGGGAAACAGATTGTATAAATTCGATTGTGCGCGGCCACACTAAGCACATTAATTCGGTTTTTAACCACATTAATTCGGTGGTGTGCGGCCACACTACCCCATTAATTTTAACCACATTAATTCGGTGGTGTGCGGCCACACTACCCCTAATTCGAATTAACAAAATCGATTTTGGTGCTACTCCGCTCGTCGGGGTGTAGTACAGAAATCGATTTTAAGTGCCCTTTAATTCGAAGTAACTGGCTCCGTTGTGTGGACGGGTTAAGGATTAATTCGGATTAACGCAGCTAAATCCGAATTAAAGTCGTAGTGTAGACCAGGCCTTAGACACCAAAGGCTAAATCACATGGTCCATACATATGCAAAATGTCCCCTGAAAGGAATTTTGCCTACATTGGCTCTATAAAACTGAACTTTATTGTGTCATTATAAAAATGGCATTTGTTTAAGGTGGAATTAATGTTTGAAATGCACATTTAACTGTCTTGATGTCCTTTGTGTTTTGGGTGGTTGGAATAGGTGCTGGTTGTCATAATTCAAACCTGGATCTGAACTTCGTAATTGGCTGCTATAATTACAAAGGACTGAATTTCAGTTTTAAACACTCCCTAATTTTGAAGTGTTAGAAATCTAGAGCCCTAAAATCTGAATTTTTATGGCAAGGGCCCAATTCTAATTAGAGTACAGTTTTACTGCATACAATTTAATTAAAGTCAACATATGCCATATTAACACACTGTTATACAAGATACATAGCAAGATACCACCATATGGCACTGCTGCTGAATGCTGATTATTTTATTTTATTTTTATTAAATGGCATCTGCATTACAGCAGTTCCAATCTTTTTAATCTCTCCTTCCATAGACATCTTTCCATTCTTCTAGTCATTTTGGTCACCTGGCCACAAACAGTTGTTTCTTATACTGATTTTATGTAAAACTTGATAAATCAAGGGGATTTACTAGATCAGACAGACCCAGAAACAAATGTAAGGTCCGGCTCATTTTTTTTTTTTTTTTGGATTAGTGCTTCAGTTATACTGTGAAACTCTTTCTTCCAGTTTCATTATCCACATTTAGTAGCTCACCACATCTGCATAAATAAATTAAATCTGATACAAATACCAGTATTGACCTTGAAATGTGTGGCACTGAAAATAAGTTAATTCATTTAACTAAAATGAGAGGTCGTCTTACCTGCCAGGCAGAAGATGAAACATACTGTAACAAGATGACTGATTAAGAACCACATTTTCATCTTCTATTCAGAGATGATTATTTCAAAAGGAATTCTGCCTTGCAGCCCCAGTGTTCAGAGAACTAAAAATACCTGATAATAAAAAAGGAAACAAAAAGAGTGAATAATTCTGATAAGAGAATGTTCCTGTAGAGACTAGCACTACATTTAAGTCAGCTAAATTTTCCATGTTTAATAGATATATTTGTAAATTAAGGGTACTCTCAAATCTGCTAGACCAAATGTATGTTGACAAATGTATGTACATTTACAGAGCATCTTCCATCTAAGGATCTCAAATCACTTTATAATCATTCATCTGAACTATTCAAAGTCTGGAAGAGTTAATGTAATAGTTTCTGCTTTGGCTCATCTTGCAAAACCAAACCCAGGGTTGGTTTGGATGTGGGTGGTATTTGTATACACACTTTACAGCGTGGAGGTCTTTGAAAAAGGTTTCTGGTTTATAGCTAATGATATAAATCAAGATTCTGTCACCCTTACTCATGCTAAGTAGCACCTTACACTAAAAATAATCCCAGGGATTTCAGTGACATTAACAGAAAAATGACCACGAAATGGTGGCACACAATCTCTTTCAGAATGCATTTATTTTGCTTAGCATGTTGTAGTTGTTAGAGTTCTAATCTGTAGTTCACAAACTTGTGGAAAGACAATCTTAGTTTTTACTCTCTGGTTTACTGGATTTTTTTAAAACCTTGAATAAGTCAATTATTTTATGTGATTTGAGCTATTTTATATTCTGTATGTGGTTGCAGGGCAAAGATTGCAGTGAACCCAGTAATGGATGTACACAGCTTCATTTGGATCCTGCCAGAGTTCAGACATAGTTTTCCAGAATTCTTTGCTTCTATATTTCCTCCTTGTTTAGATTAGAATATTTTGCTAGCTTTTTCTTTTCTGCTGTCTGTTATCTATTTCTTTAGGTAGTGAGTTATGGTGATTGAAGTACGTATTTTGTTTTGTTTAATGGGTTTCTTGCCCTGCGTGTATAAAAGTATCCTTTACATCCTTCACATCTTGTTCACATTTCACTTTTTTTCTGCTCATTGGTTCTGCTGTGTCACTAGTTTCTCTATGACCTGCGGGATAGGGTATGATTTCCAATTCATCACTGAAGGAATATCTGCATATCCTACCCATGAGTGGACACCATCCATTTGGTTTACTCCTGCTCTTAGGTGGGGTGGTGGTTTTTTTTAGCCTTTGTGACTCTATTTCATTATACAAATATGGTACATTTGAATTCCTTTTACTAAAGATTAAAAACTTCACATAGTGCCTTCTAGACCCCTTTTTTTCTTTGGATCCCAATGCATGTTTATATATTGGCTAACACAGGCGTCATGAAACCTCTCTTCTCTCAGTTCCAAAAATGTTTTCTACCAGCTTGCTTTGTCATGCGCTGGTGATTCTGATTATGTCTACTGGCTTGCATAGAGACTATTTAGCCACATTACTCCCACTGAAATCAATGAAAACTAAATACCTTTGAGGATCTGGGCACATGGCTCTGTTGAAATTTTTACTCTACTATTTCTTTTTAAAAACAAATGCCTTTGATCCTACCTGCTTACTCTCTCTCAGTTTCACTTCCTCCTTCACCTCATTTGTCCTAGTGTGCACTTTCATGCGACTTATCTGGGCAATTGATGATTCATTATCAAAACACCTTTCATCAAGTACAGATTTCTAACAGGAAGTAGCCCAGAATGGATGTGAACAGTCAGAAAGGAGAAACAGCAGGCTGATAAATATTTTCAATTCTACTCAAAAATCATGGAGGTTGCTGGGAAAAGAAAACAAAAACACTACAGAGGTAGGATTCTGTAATACCCAGAAATATAGGCCTTTGAACGTTAAATCAGATAGATTTAAAGCTATATTCTGGAACGAATGCCATTTGGATTAATGGGGATTCTGTTGTTTCTGAGATCCCACAGTGTTCTTGTCAGGTCCAGCTCAATGCCACCCTACCTTTGTGTCCCTCTCTAAGGAACTGTAACTCTTTCTCCTCGCCACTAGGGTCTGCTGTTGTAGCTGCTATGAAGGTCTTTTCCTCCTCCCCAGCAGCATCTTATGGCTCCCTGCTTTTTCTCTGCGGAGAGCTAGCCAGGAGGTAGCAACTACCAGGACCAGCTGCCTCACTCATTTACCCACCCATCATCATCATCATCATCATCATAGGCAGCAGCTTCAGACCTTCAAGAGGTAATAGAGAGAGAGACCAGAGAATGCAGAAATGGCACTAGGAGAGAAGAACAGTTGTTATCTTCCCTCTGCACACCCTGCCGAAAGATGAAGAGGGATGCTAGCAGGCCTGGTGGGGGTGCCTCACTTTAGAATCCTTATCTGAACTAATCACGAATGCCAGACCTCTAGGGATCTCCTCCCATTGGTCTTCCATGCAACTTTGCACCCATGCCGATGGTGGGGTTTATAAAAAAAAACCTCTATAAAGCCACGTAATATTCATTCATTGTATGGAAACATGGTATGCAGTGTCCCAATGCAATCTATACAGGGCAGAGAATGACAGATTTGGTGGGTTTGCTCTTTTTCAGTCTGGTAGATGAAATCTTTAGCAGCAGCCTAAAAACTGTTTTAGCTGTCAGAGCCTGTTAATTATGTTATTCAGATTAAAAAACAGCTAAAGTTCAGCAGAATATACATACAACTATAGGGCAGTCCAAGGAACCCTGACTTATTTGAACCCCAAGTAAAAAATTCTTAGTTAGTAAAAATGTATCTGTATATGTACTCTAGGTGAATGTGCTAATCTACGTGGAATACTTTTCCACTAAAAATCTTTCCCTCCTGCCTTTACCATAACACTAAAGCTTCTTTACAGTCCAGCACTACTGTCTGTTTTGCCTGGAATGCATAATTAAAAAGAATTCTCTTTTAGAAAACCAGAAAATATTAACATACAGCATAATCCACTGAACAGTATGGCAATGCAAGAGGACAAGAGCAGGAATTTGAAGTGTTTTAATAGACCCACTACGTCATAGCAACCATCACTGAATTCTAAAACCAGTACCGGGAAGTGGGTTCTCTGCTCCTCTTTCTCCCCTTCCAGGAGAGAGATGCTGCCAGTTATTCAAAACATTTCCAAAGGGCCGAACATTTCCTGACTATGAAGCTAATCATTTTATGAGGTTGTTTATTCATTTCCTATTGCCTGACATGAGTTACATGGATAGTTATTGCAAAATGATGTACATAATTAAATAACAAACAGTAATTCCACTGGGAATAATGTAATTATATGTTACTCATGTTAACGTTACCAGGTCATCACCTAATAACTGTATTTGAATATAATAAAGCAATGGGTTAAAGAGCATTAACAGTAAGACTATGTCATCTATATGAAATTAGAGGTACTATTGCTGATGCAAGGCCCTTCCGTCCTCTCCCTTTGTATTGATCTTTGCGGAAATTATGTTCAATTTTGAAAAGCTCTTCTCTCCCCTACCTCATCAGAAATTAGGGTTAATGGAAGTTGTGGTTGTAAGTCCCCATGCTGTAAATCCCCAAGCATACTCAGCTGTGAGTACAGAAAGACACCCTGCCAAGATATAAAAATCTTCCTTTACTTGCAATTATTTCAGCTGAGCGAGAATGGCATATACACTACGTCTAACCTGATTCATCTTGACTTATGGAAGAGAAGTGAGGCATTCTGATATATTTCTCTGGATCAAGTCAGTAGTACTGCCTGCTATTAAATGAGACAGTGCACAGGTTACTTTTTATAGGACTAGGATAGTATGACTGAGCATGATGTTGCTACCCAGCTGCCCAAGCAGCCGTTTAAACTGATCTAAGACAGCAGCCCTATCAGAAGAGACAGGATTGTGGATGCACTGCTCATGCATCATGTCTATTATTTAATTAAGGATTAAAAGATTCTCTCTCTTGAAGCTCTGCACCTTTTTCCTCTTTGGAGTAAGAGGCATACCGTATCGTAAGTGAAAAGTGTTCCCCATCAAAAGGGCTTGCTTTACTTTCATGTACATGCTGAGAATGACTACGTGGCCAGATAGATTTCTTTTTTCTATATATCATTTACTAGCATGTATTTTTTACAATGACATATAATTCTGGCAAATTAATAAAAGATTTTAAAACACATGCTGAAAACAGCAAATGCTTGCCTGCCTCAGTGTCAGATTTCATCATTATTTAATTATTTAATTCAATGGACCTAATACTAAAGCATTTATTTCCCTTTTGACAATTTTGTTTTTCCCTACATGATCCAGCCACAATTGCAGTCCCCTCACTCTTCTAAATACAGGAGAACTGATCCTTCTGGGCTCCCTGAAGCTCCTGGCACCCTAAAGAGGTGGAGAGAAATTGAGGCACTGGCACTGCTCTCCCCACCATACATACACTAGCCAGAGGAGCTGGCTAGCTGCACACTAGAGTTTATGCTGCACCTTGCACAGTACGGACACTGTAACTCACTAAGGCTCAATGCTTCCCAGAATTGCTCCAGAGTGCTGCAGCTCCTGACAACCCCTCCTCGGGACTGTCAACTGCACACCTTTTAGGGCCTAAGTGGCACAGGACTCTTGTGGCTTTGCACTTTTGAACAAACTCAGTATTTCACATCATTTACCTAGTTATTTGAATATCACACACACACACACAAACACACACAGAGGAAAATAAAGATAACAGACAAGGGAAGGGAGGACTACAGTTAAAACAAAGATCATGTGAGGCAGAAAATAGTGCAAATGAATCTTATACTTTCTGAGCCTTCTCAATTTGAGACCAAGGTAGGGAAAGAACGGGGGAATAGTCAGCATAATGGTGGCAGTCAGCAGCCAAAAAAATGGCATCTGGAAGCAGATCATAAAGATTCTTAGCGCACTGGAAGTGGGATGGTGTTCCAGGAGGGGGAGGTGGGAGGGGCGGGGAAGGAAAAGCATGAAAGTGAGAGGAGGAGGAGAAAAAGGAAGCAACAAAGCAAGAAGTGTGGAACACCAAAATGAGGAGAAGGAGCTTGAACTTTTTAAAGCAGGAGACCAGAAGCCAGTGAAAAGACTGAAGGAGTG